CAGCGGGCAATTTTAATTATGAAGTTATATTTATTAGGATTACCCATAGAAGCATATTTCCTGCTGTATTCAGTTTGTGTGAAATGAATTCTTTGGACTGATCATTTTCTCCACATACAAACATATGTTTTCATGGTGATTGAGATGCAAAACGGATTTTACACATCCACTTCCTTTGTAAAGAAGTGGACATCTCTAATGAACATTTATTCAGAGAACATATCATGATACAAAAAAAGAAAAATCTAAAAAGAGTAACATAGGGTTCAGGGTTTCCCCAAGGGTGATACATATGGTGCCAGTAATAATATAAAATCATTACAGATACTATATAGACAAGGTTTTTTTGTTTTCATTGTTATTTATTTGACTACCTGTTAGAGAAAGTATAAAATGAGTTCAATAGCTCATACTCAATTTTTATGGCCTCAAATACTTAGAATAAGTAACAGGTATGAACAGTTAATTGACTTAGCTAAGAGAAACATTAAGAATATAGTGTTGAAGTGGTTGTGAAATAAGGCAAACATTTCAAGCTGGCATGAGAATAACCAGAGTAAACATGGGCAGAATGGTATACAGTGATACAGTGATGCAGAACCACACAGTGGCATGGGACCCTGGCTCAGCCACTTAACAGCTGTGAGATTCCACATTTGTAAAAGCCTTCCCATAAAGAGCCTGCTCAGAGAATGTTTAAAACCAACTGGAAGCTTTTAGCATGGTGCTTGCTGGTCATACAGTAAGCCCTAAATGAGTGACAGGTGTAATTATTCATCTCAATAAAAAGTCTCTTCTCAAGGACTCACCTACTGACAACAGAAACCAAATCCCTCACACTAGGTGAATATGGGCCCAGAATAGTATTGTTAGAAAAATCACATATAACTGTTTAATTTTTTAAAGAATTCTCAGAGGCGTCTAAGTGGTTCAATGAGTTGGGCATCCAACTCTTGATTTCAGCCCAGGTTGTGATCTTGGGGTCTCCATGTGTAGGGCTCCATGCTCAGAGCAGAGTCTTCTTGAGATTCTTTCTCTTGCTCTCCTTCTTACCCTCCCCCCATTCTCTCTAAAATAAATAAATAAATATTTTAAAAGAATTAAAAAATAAAGAATTGATTAAAACATGCAAACGAAGTGGCATTTAATGATAATTTTTGCTTTTCTATGCTAAAATATGTGTGTACACTATTATACAGCATTAACCTTTAGTTCCTTTTACCTAGGGACTGTGTATTTTTATCTGACAACTTCTACAGTGTTAAACATGGAGGTTTCACCTATTTGGCTCTTAATAAAGAACTACGGAGATGACTGGCTATTATATATCTTCACTAATTTTTAAGATTCCCTTATCTACCATGACTTCGGAAAGCAGTAAATATTCACAAAACATTCAACTTTTGGCTAGATTTATTTTGTATCCCAAGTAAGAAAAATCCTCATTATTTCATAATACATTACCAGGACTTCTTTATATATTCTCAATATTATTATATTCCCTGTGCTTTGTATATCTTCCTATTTCTGAAATCATACACACAAAGTCCTAAAACATCAGCAACAACATCTGATTACTGTAGGCCCATTCATCTCTTCCTGCTCTACTGATTCACAGACCATGAGTTCCACCTGAAGTATAAAAAAAAAATTCTAGATCTATTCCTATATCTGTACTGGGCACTTCATGGGTGATCAATAAACGTTTGCTCACTAGTTGGTTTTCTAAGCAGTCAGGGGTAAATTACTCAGAGAGCAATTTCACATTCCTCTCCTGTGTGCTGACCCCACCCTACTGCCAGAGAGTCAGTTGTTAATAATCACTGCTATTTTTTAATGTTTTAAAATAATTTTTAGATGGACAAAAATAATTGCAATAATACCCTTTCCTTCCCTAAATCACACTAAAACTCAGGGGGATCCAAATTAATGGCTAGCATCATGGGACCTTAATTAATGTCATACTAATTGATTTTTAGGTGATACTTGAGCTGTAAATATGTATTATACTTAAATATCCTTTAGGATTATAAGGGCAGACCTTTATATTTTTAATCCTCCCAACACTGTTTCTGAAATATGGCCTAAAATGAGCAAATGAGGCACTTTAAAGAGAATTGTTTCTATTCATTGAAGTATGATACATAATAGTAATTTGGAGATAATCAAAATCTCATTGATAGAAAACTGGAGTACCTATTCCATGGAATATGCCATGTATCCCTGAATATGAATGATGCAAATCCATGTATATTCATATATCAAGTTGTCCATGATATAATGGACAACCAATAAGAAGAAAGTATGAATGGGGGTGCCTGGGTGGCTCAGGTGGTTAAGCATTTGACTCTTGGTTTCAGATGGAGGTCAGGGCTGTGAGATCCAGCCCCACCTTGGGCTCCATGTTGAGCATGGGGTCTGCTTAAGTTTCTCTCTCTTCCTTGCCCCTTCCCCCTCTAGAAAAATAAAATCAATGAAAATTAAAATAAAAAATACATTTTAAAATAGAAATAAATAAAAATATTTTATTAAAAAAGAAAGTATGAATGTGGTATGAAGTGGTCCCTGAGGAGTAGAGTGGGGAGAAGAGGAGAAGGGCCTTCAGTTTTTATTTTATGTATCCCTGTTGTAAACTTTAATTATAATAACTTTAATAAGCATTTTCATTTTTATAACCTTTTTAAAAATAACAAAATGTTTTTTAATAAAGGTAGTCTTAGACTAGTATTACCTACAGCTTGGATTTATTGCCATGCTACCAGAAGTCATTGTCTATACAGCCTCCTCCTTTATTTGTTTTATTTTCCCAATTTGATAACTCTAAAAAGATGTGTTGCACTACTATGTGTGATAGACCACTAAACAGAGAATAGACCACTAAACAGAGAATGACTTAAGAGTAGCATTGATTGGTTTAGGTCTAAAAGCAAGAGTTTGAATCTTAGATCCATTATTTGTAAGCCCAGATTTTGGTTATGAGGAATAGAAACCTATCAAAACTACCTAAAGTCAAGGGACGGTTAGGTGAGAATATAGATCATACCTCTAAATGTATCACAGCTGGAGCTCCCAGGAATTGCTGGTTGGAGCTATGAAGCTATTGGAGACCCAGGCAACTACTTTCTCTGCTCTCCTCTCTCTCTCACACATGACTGACTGCACACTTCTGTTTTCTACTTTATTCTTTTCTCTGCAAAATGGTTTCTTCTTCATTTTCATAGTTTTGGTGTCAAATAACTCATTTGTCCATGACTTTTCTTGCTGTAAAATCTACTTAGGCCTGGGCTCCATGGGACCTTTCAGCTTCTCAGAATTCTTGGATCTCTTGTTTATGACAGATCATAAGAATTAAATGGGATAGCATTTTGTTTAAAGACTCTCCTGTTTCTTGATGTGATATATAAAAGATATCAATCTTCTTTAAATATCAGTGTCTTCAACTGCAAAATGCAAGACCTATAGTATCAACATCATAACATTTCTGTAAAATTCTTAGTATAGTGCCTGCCATATAACTGCTTCATAAATGTTAGATTATGTTATTGTTACTGTTATTGTTGTTAAATCCATCATGATTATTATTTTAGGGAAATAAACAGAAAATGAATGACCTGCTTCATCCAAGTGGGCATCCATGAATGCCTCCATTTCCACATAGATTTTTGGAGCAGACGATATTGTATTATCTGATAGAGGAGTGTACAAGCAATAAACCTGACAGCTCTGTAAAACAAATCATCATACATCAACAGTTTCTCAAGGCCAGGCAACAATAAGAAAAGACAGAAGTGCTCTTATTCATGTTTAAGGTAAGGGAATGTGCAGTTAAATGAAGATAGTGATAACATCATTTAAAGCAAAAGCTATCAAGATACCTCCATTAATCATTAGCCAGGAGCTTGCTCCTAATGTAAAGGAAAAAAATATGCTGCTCACAGTCCTCTCTGTGTCTTGGTCCAGTGGAAAAGAGTTTGATGAAGCACATAACAGGTAGGTTCCTGCCGGTTATCAGACACACAGGGAATTCAATAATGAACCTTGTTCAAACCATCAGATGACCCATTTCCTATCTACAAATGAGGAAAGCCTGGCATGAACTTTGGAGATGTGGCAACAGACATACAGACGTGTTTTAATCTCATGTTTCTTATGAAATTAGCAAACAATGTCCTTAGTGATACTCTAAACATAACACGCCAGCATCTGATTAATGAAACATGTCAGCTCAACTATCAACACTTAACATCTATTATGCTCAATGACATTCGTGTCTTAGATCTCAAAATAACAGGTGTTTCAGTGATGAAAAGTCAAGACAAAAGTGTGAAGCTAAGGCTTTCACATACTTTTCTTTAAATTTTGCAGCAACACAGTTTTTGACAGAGGGCTTCTGACTGCTCAATTTGATGGCCATACAAACTTATAAAACCTGAAGTGTCGAGTTTCCCAGGGGACGACATAATGAAATAAATGCACTCATGAATATGTATGGTGGAGGAGGCCATCTGTTCTCCACCAACCTCTTTTCTTTCAACAACTCACAAATATCCAGCCCCACTCCCATGCCTACCCCACTATCCAGAAAAAAAAAAAAAAAATCTTCATCTGAAGATTTTAAAAATCAGTATTGTTTCATCTCAGGCAAGAAATATGATTGTAATAGAATTACTTTTATTGTCAGATTAAAAATGTGTTAATAAATCAAAGAGTGTTGTTCAACTGTGAGCTCTGAAGTCCCTTGTTGCTCGTCTGTCCTTCAGGAATGAAGATTCCTTACTCTTCACCAACCCTGAAAGCCACATGAACCTGCCTTTTTGGCTACAAACATGAGAACAGGAGAAACATCAATAGCAGTAGAGGAGGTAACATTCCATCATTTGGGGGCTTTGGAATTAGCTCCAGTTGCTGTATGTTTAGGTTCAATATTAAATACTTCCATGATCCCTTTAGAATCCATTATTCATTGATATTTTTGAAAACAGAAGATGAAGCCAACCTTACCGTTCAAAGGTGATGGAAAAGAAATTTTTAAGAGATAAGAGGAAGAGATGAACTTCCTAAAAAAAAAATTGATTGCAAAATGATTAAATTTTTTTGGTCAACTGAATCATAACTGAAATGCATAAAGAACATTTGTGCATTATTTATAGGATTCTTTTGGTAAATCTTTTATAAAGTGAATACATATGAAAAGAATAATCACTCCTAATTCCTCTGCTTTGCAATTTCAACTTTGTGACTATCTTGCCTTCTTTGAGGAATGCTTCTAGCCAGTCTCTGTTTCAGAAGAAAAATGAATTAAGGTTAAACTCTTCTCACAACAAAATAGAACTTAAAAAATTGAAAAAGTAAAAGAAAAACATAGTCGTAGCAGCCCCTATGCTTTATTAAATTTTCTCAAACTACTCTTTGAGAGATAGTCTGTGATAAACTGTTAGTTATATCAGAAAACAGAAAACCAAAGGACAATATCATTAAATTCCAAAAGGTAATAAGATGGATTGGGAAGAGCATATATATTCTGAAATGAAAAAAAAAATCAAAGCTTTAATCCTTATTCTGTTTAGTTAATAGTATGACCTTGGGCAATCTGGCCATGGTTTCTAACACTCTACATTTTTATCCGTTAAATCAGAATAGTAATACCAACCTCATGATGCTATTAGGATGATATGATAAGGTAATAAATATGAAAGCACTCCCTAAACAAAAAAGAACTTACTAAAATAACCCTGAAACAGATGTTAAAGTGAATTAATTTATAAATTACATTCCTAATAAAAATAAAATGTGTTTACTCATCACTTCTCACCATCAAGATGGTCCTCTCTAAATTGTCATTTATATTGCCTAAAACAGCTCCACTGAGCTTTGCCCTCTTAGCCCGCTACAGTAGCAAGATACTGAAAATAAACTGAAGTGTTATATTTGTCGCCTACATTTAGGAATCTTAGGAATACCAGCACCGCATCCAAAGGAGTGCTACCCAAGTGGGAGAGAGCTCTGAGATCACCTTGCAGAGATCTTCCACATCTCTGTGGTCAGCTGCCCATCCACGAGGTCAAGAGATTGGATGACATCCTCTCAAAGTTCTCTTCAGGCTCTGAGATTCTGTGATGCTTTAAGAGAGCTGTGTGGCAAACAAGTAGGAGGCAGGGACTTACCAACTGGCTGTGTGGTTTTAGATGAAGCAAGTTACAGAAACTCCCTGGGCCTCAGTTCTTCAATCTGCAAAGGGAGGAGATTGAGCTGTATATCTCCCGAGGTCCTTCTAGCTCTGACATTGCATGCTGTTGTAATAGAGTTCAAATGGAGACGGGGATTTGAGGACAAACTGCTGGGTGCCACATAAATGATTTCCAAAGGTTTAAAACAATGTAGTCAGGGCCTTTATAATTAAAAATGAAAAGTCTCAGCTTGTTTTGTAGCACTAAAGCAGAACTTGAGATTTGTGTAAGCAATAGGATTATTTTTAGATTAAGGGTCTAGAGAAAACTTGTCACACGTCAATCTTTTAAAAATGCACAGTGTCATGTTTTTTCCCAAAGTTTTCCTGTAAGGTTTAATTAGCGAAATACATACAGCGAAATATTAGTTTCAGGCATTAGTGACTTGTTTTTTTTATTTTTTAAAAAGGCACTTAAAGAAATGCTACATCATTGGAATAATGTCAGATAGGTCTATAAAGCTTTTCACAATTGGAACATCACAAATTTATTTCAAAATTTTAAATAATAAAGCTTTTACCCAAGGGAGATGAAACTGAAGGTGAAGCTTCAGTTCCAAAGAGGTGTCAAACTTTCATGGTTTGATGATTTGTTTCAATCATAAAAATCTTTCTAAATTATATTAAATCAGTTTGCAGAATGCATATTTGAATACCATGGTAGATCCTACGTAAAACAAGTAAGTTAATTTAACACAATGTTTTATGACAAAGGGATAAATGACCTCTCCAAAAATAGATACTATAGGCACCAAGGGACTTTGATAAGCACAAGAACCAGCCCTAGGGTCTCTACTCCATAATAATCTGGACTCCATGGCACACACTGAAAAAGAAGTTGTCAAAAGATGCAAATGGTGAGTAAAGTCCATGGTAATATTTTTTGAATGGGCTAATAATTACTTATTTGGAATATATGTATTGTGTCATTGAGTAAAGTCTTTGTCAATCAAATACTCTTAGTAAATAGATACAGAATGCAATTCAAAATTTAGCATTGAGGGCAGCCTGGGTGGCTCAGCAGTTTAGCGCCGCCTTCGGCCCAGGGCATGATCCAGGAGACCCAGGGTCGAGTCCTACATCAGGCTCCCTGCATGGACCAGCTTCTTCCTCTGCCTGTGTCTCTGCCTCTCTGTCTCTGTTTCTCATGAATAAATAAATAAAATCTTAAAAAAAAAATAGCATTGAAATTGAGCCAGACTTCTGTCAGGAACTGCTCAATTTTATTCATTCTACTCCAGATTCATTATAAAATAAAGTAGACAGGGATATCTGGGAGTAGCTTCTTTATTCCCTTGAGACCACGTTTTATTAGCTGTTAATTTACATAACAGGTTTATTAGCTGTTAATTTACATAATTTCTCATTATTATGAGAAATTTACATAACATAAAATTCACCTGTTGTAAGTTTAATTTAAAAAAAGTTTAATTCAATGCCTTTTGGTAAATTTAAAGTCATTCAAACATCATCAGAAAAGATCCTTATGCTCATTTGCAGCCAATCCCACTCCTTGCCTGGGCAACTACTAATCTGCTCTCTTTCTGTAGACTTACCTTTTCTGGACATTTTGCCTAAATAAAATCATACAACATATAGCTTTTTGCATATGTCTTTTTTCACTTAGCTTATTCTTTTTGAGGTCCATTCATGTTGTACATGTATCAGTATTTACTTCCTTTTAACTGCTGAATAGTATTCTATTGCATGGATATAGTATATTTTCCTTATCAGCTGTTCATTGTTGTTTGGTTTGTTTCTACTTCTTGGCTATTATGCATAATGGTGCTATGAATGTTTGTGTGTGAGTCTTTGTATGGAGATAAATTTTATCTCCCTAGGGTAGTTATATAGGCGGGGAATTGCCATGTCATACAGTAAGAACATATATGACTTTTTAAGAAACTGAAAAACTGATTCTATAGTGGCTGTACAATTTTACTTTACAGAGGTGTAAAGGAATCCAGGTTCTCCATATCCTCACCAATTTTTAAAGAAAGTCACTTTAGTGAATATGAAGTAGAATTTCATCTTGTTGACAATTTGCTTTTTCCTAATAACTAATGATGTGGAATAGCTTTTTCATCTGCTTATTAATCCTTTGTACCTCCTCTTTAATAAAATATCTATTAAAATCTTTATCCAATTTTAATCAGGCTCTTTGTCTCATTATTGAGTTGTAAGAGTTCTTTATATATTCTGCATGCAAGTCCTTTATCAAATACATTCTTTGCAAATATATTCTTCTGGTCTGTAGCTTATCTTTTCAAAACTGTGTCTTTTGAAGCACATAAGTCTTTAATTCTTATTAAATTTGATTTACTAATTTCTTTTGTGAGTCATGCTTTTGATGCCCTATGTTAGTAGTCTGTGCCTAACCCAAAGTCACAAAGATTTTCTTCTAATAGTTTTTGAGTTTTAGTTCTTACTTTAGGTCTGATCTATATCAACTTAATTTTTGTATATGATATAGTCCAATAAGGGTATAAATTCATCTCTTTGCATGCATATACCAAATTGTACCAGCACTATTTGTTGCAAAGACTATCATTTCTTCCAATTAATTTTCCTTTGCCCCTTTGTTGAAAATCAGTTGACCATAAATATAAGACTACTTTTTTTTAAAGATTTTATTTCTTTATTTGACAAAGAGAGAGCAAGAGAGCACAAGCAGGGGGAGTGACAGGCAAAGGAGAGAGAGAAGCAGGCTCTCTGTTGAGCAGGGAGCCCAATGTGGTGCTCAATCCCAGGACTCTGGGATCATGACCTGAGCTGAAGGCAGAGGCTTACCGACTGAGCCACCCAGGTGCCCCAAAATTACTTATTTTTAATGAGGCAAATGGAATAGTGCTTAAGAGTATGGGCTTAATTCTGCCTTTCAGTAGTTGTTTGGCCTGGATCAAGTTACTGAATCTGTGCATCAGGGTTCTCCTCTGTAAAAGGAGGATAATAATAGTACCTACCTAGTTCCTGGGGCTGTGCAACGGATTAAATGAGATAATATATGTAAAGTACTTACATGGGGACCTGGAACAAAGTAGTAAATACCCAAGAGTAGAGAGCTGTCATTATTCTTTTCTCTGGGGGCAAAGACAGAAGAACCTGGTTGGCTTCTTTGTACCTTGGAATACAAATTGAACCCACCTAGCCAAAATTTAGAGGATGGCCTGCCAGTATCTCCTCCAGATATTTAACTTTTACCTGGTCTTTTTGTCTTGCCTTTTTGAGTCCTCTTATTTTTTTTTTTTTTCAGTTTTGTTCAAGTGCCAATGTGCCTTTTAAAAATACTCTCTTCTCCAGATTCCCTTGCAGCTCAGACTTGTTTTGTGACACAGTTTTGGCCAATAAGATATAAGCAGAATAAATTGCATGGGATATCAGAGAAAGCTGTGGCTTTCCTGACAAAGAATAGATGAACTCAGCTGGCACAGACTACTTCCTCTTCAACCGTTCTTTTTTATCCTGCTTGGAACATAGCCATAGAGGGAGAGCAGCCATCTTGCAGCCATGAAGCTGAAATCTTCATGTTAACAGTAATGGAGCAGAAAGTGAAAAGCTGACTGGATCAATTGTAACAAGGCTGGATTGCCTTCTGGATTTCTTGTATTGTCTTGTGATATTTGTCATAGCTACTAGTAAGGGAGTACCTACTATGAGCAAACTATTTTATGTACACTCTCTCTAAACATGGTAAAAGGTCCTGTAAGAGAAGTTTTCCAGTCTCCATTTCACAGATGAGTACATTAGAAATCAATTAAGTTCCAATAAGCCGTCTGAGGACAGACATTTGTCAAGAGGTAGGGCTGGGCTCAAACGCAAATATGCCAGTTAGCAACCTGACACACCTTAGGACAGGAGCCAGCCTGGTGACTCCTCTGTATCACACACTCAGTTTGACTCCTTTCTTCTAGGAAATGGACAAAGTGTTTCCTCTTTTTGCCTTGTAAAACTTAAGGCCAAGTCTTTACATTTTAAATGGACAATTTTTTTCTTCAGGGAATTAGCATTTAGCTGCAAACACACAAAGTTTCTGCTAATTGTTTTAATCAAAATGGTCAAGCAATTGACTATGGATTGCTGTGTGGGCTCCACAGATTAATGGTTAGTAACAGAGTAATTTAAAGTATTTAGGAATTCACTTCACAGAAATCACCCTTAGGTGGAAAGTAATCCAAACAATTTCTCCTTCTTTCCAGCTCAGCTGGTTGCCCTTTATCTCCAAAGAATATTAATTGCACCTCTTATACCTTTTAGACTATGAAAGATTCTAAACATCTTTTCCATAACTCAGGTGGAGTGGAGTGGCTTTAAAAAAGGGTGAATTAGAAACCAACAAATCTTTTATTATTGCTGTCTTGTTTTGGTTGGTTTTTAAGAACAGTTTCCGAATCAAATATCCTAGGAGATGTTGATAAAAACCTCAAGAAAAATGTTCCCTGGTCAATTTTGGAAATGCTCTTTCTTAGAAATACTTAACTTACATCAGCATGTGAAAGTTCTAAAACAAAAACTTTTTAATTTTGTTTAACCCAATGCCTTCCAAATGTATTCAATCTAAGAATTCTTTTATTTATAACACATTGATATTTGTAGTAACAGAGTATTTAGAAATTGATGTTTTAGGAGAAATAAAAGACTAACCCAGTTCATCTGTTTATTCAATCCATCTAGGCCAGGGGTCACCAAATTACAAAAGCTGGCCTTTGATCTTTCTTTATAAGGATCAGGAGTTAACAAAAACAAAAGCACCACGAATATGCAGTGGAGAACTATATTGTGGCTCAAAGGCCAACAATGTTTTCCATGTAGACCTTTATAAAGTATATTCCCCCATCTTTGCCCTAGCACATTAAAATTTTAAAAATTAAATCCATATATTCTGAGAGTATAGAGGATGGTTAAGAAAAGGGGGCAGCAGGTGGAGGGAAGGAAGAGACAAGCTTAATGTCTAAAATGTAGTAGGTGGTGTAATGTGAGAAGTTAACCCTTAGGACCATGCAGA